GCAGGAACCCACCCTGAACAGCTCGCCAATCCATCGCAGGGCGCACACACCATTCGCTCTCACACTCATACCTATGGGCAATATAGTGTCTCCAATTAACCTAACATGCATGTCTTTGGACTGTGGGAGGAAACCGGGGTACCCGGAGAAAACCCACGCGACACGGGGAAAACATGCAAACTCCACAGAGAAAGGCCCCAGGCCAAAATCGAACCCACAACCTTCTTGCTGTGAGGCGACAGTGCTAAACACTATGCCACCAAGCCTAGTGTAAATTGATGGACTACTGATGACCGATGGTCATACATCCATGCGATCCATACTCTAACCAGGCAATATTTACCATCATGCATTGCGCTGAGAGAAAAATGGCGGACGAAAGCATGAAGGTCACGGAGAGGGAGCTGATCTACTAATGTGAGTAATTTTAATTAAAACAAATTATATATATATATAATTTTCCAATTAACTTTTGAGGATGTGTTGAAGTTTGTTTGCTTTGTAGTAATATGGCAAATTTGCAGCTAGCAATGCTAATTTGACCCGATTTAGCTCCATATAACATATGCTTCCTGTAGCATCTGTCTCTGTCTCCCTCTCTTGCACAGGAATCAAGGATCATTGATAGAGCTTTGTCTGATTTTACAAAAACCTCACAAGACATCCAACCTGAGTGTTCAACGTCAAATGTTGACGAGCAATGAATGCAGTATCGGTCTGTAGTAGGCTCATGCACCTGTTTTCTGCTCATCCCTAGGAATAGCCTGGTAATTTTGGGGCAGAGATTGAATAGAATGTTAATTGAAAACACAGCATTCACGTTTAAGTAAAATGACTCACCAAACATGGACTGGCAGAGGGCTGTGTCTTTGAAGGGCCTCTTCTGCTTGGAGGGGTCCTTGTTTTTTTTTTTTGCCAGCCCAGTTAAGGCAAGAGGCCAATTCATTGCTCAATGAATGGGACAGCATTCGCCGGACCTTCACCTCCAGGGTGGTCCCACCAATCATAGTCAAGTGGGTCACCTATCAATATAAAAAAGTATTACTATTAAGGATGTGAGTCTGTGTAGCTGATGTGTTGGTATGATGAAGAGATAGCATAATATGTTGCTATGGATAGAATTGCTAGTTTCCAAGAAGAATGAATTTAACGGAGATATTGCTAAAAAAATTATCAAAATCTACAACCCCAATTCCGAAATAGCTGGGACGAAGTGTAAATTGTGAATAAAATCAAAATGCAATTACTTTCAGATCACATGACCCAATATGTTATTTACAGTAGAACATAGATAACATTTCAAATGTTGAAACTGAGACATTATACATTTTTATCCACAAATGAGCTTCTTTAAAATTTTCTGGCTGCAACAGGTCTCAAAAAAGTTGGGACACAGGCAAAAAAAGGGCTGAAAAAGCAATTAATATATTAGAGAATCTGCTGAAAGAACATTTAGGAAGTAATTAAGTTAACTGGCATGAGGTATGTAACATGATTGGCTATAAAAGGGATGTCTTAGAGAGGCTGAGTCTCTCAGAAGTAAAGACAGCCAGAGGGTCTCCTACCTGTGAAGGCTTGCGTAAAAGAATTGTGGAATACTTTAAAAAACAAAGTTCCTCAACATCAAATTGCAAAGGCTTTGAAGGTCTCATCATCGACAGTGCATAACATCATGAAAAGATTCAGAGAAACTGGAAAAATCTCTGTGCATAAGGGACAAGGCCGAAGACCTTTACCGGAGGCCCGTGATCTTCGAGCCCTCAGACGCCACTGCATCACTCACCGTCATGATTCTGTCATTGACATTACTAAATGTGCCCATGAATACTTTTAGAAACCACTGTCTGTAAACACAGTCTGCCGTGCCATCCACAGATGCCACCTGAAACTCTTATCATGCAAAAAGGAAACCATTGCTGAGCATGATCCAGAAGCGCCGCCATGTTCTGTGGGCCAAGACTCATTTAAAACGGACTGTAGCAAAGTGGCAAAGTGTCCTGTGGTCAGACAAGTCCAAATTCGACATTCTTGTTGGAAATTATGGGAGTTGTGTCCTCCGGGCTAAAGAGGAGAAAGACCACCCCTCCTGTTATCAGCGTTCAGCATCTCTGATGGTATGGGGATGCATTAGTGCATATTGTGTGGGACACTTGCATGTTTTAAAAGGCACCATGAATGCTGAAAGGTATATAAAGGTTTTAGAGCAACATATGCTCCCCTCCATATGACATCTATTCCAGGGAAGGCCTTGTGTATTTCAGCAGGGCAATGCAAAATCACATACTGCAGCTATTACAACAGCATGGCTTCGTAGTAGAAGAGTCAGTGTGCTGAACTGGCCTGCCTGCAGTCCTGATCTTTCACCGATTGAGAATATTTGGCGCATAATTAAACGAAAAGTCCGTCAAAGGAGACCCAAAACTCTCCAGCAGCTGGAAGCCTGTATTAAACAAGAGTGGGATCAAATTCCAATGGCTAAACTCAAGAAACTTGTCTCCTCAATGCCCAGACGCCTCCAATCTGTGTTTAAAAAGAAGAGGGGATGCTACACCATGGTAAACAGGCCCCTGTCCCAACTTTTTTGAGACCTGTAGCAGCCATCAAATTTGAAATGAGCTCATTTTGTGGATAAAATTGAAAAATTTCTCAGTTTCAACATTTGCTATGTTATCTCTGTTCTATTGTGAATAAAATACTGGCTGGTGTGATTTGCAAGTCATTGCGTTTTGATTTTATTCACAATTTACACTTTGTCAACTATTTCAGAATTCGGGTTGTACCAAAACAACAGCAGTTTTTGCATGAGATGCATTGAAGTGTGGAATGTTTTTGCATTCTAGCGTGGGATGAGACTGAGATTCAACATGTTTTAATTGCCTGCCGTCACGTGTTCCAACAGATTAGGCAGTTTAATGAAATTGAGCTTATCAATAAAGTTTTCAATCAGTGGAATGATGTAACCATAAAGTAATTACAAGCTTCCACAGATTGGAGGGTCATCTCTATACGCTCCAGCTCCTCCAGGTTCCGCAGAGGCATTTGTGCTGGGTCCCCATTGGCAACCTCCCAATTCCCCCATCAGAGGCTGGCACCACCTGCACGACTGGCGAAATTCTAGAACTTCCTGGCGGAGGTCTTTGACCTCCTTGACCAGCTCCGTCATGGTGCTGAGCAGTTTCTGAAATGCCACATCTATCAGTAGGAATAAGGTATTGAATTTGGTACAGTTGAGAGCAAAAGTGTTCAACCTTTTATTTTTAATAGACATCAGGTTTTGATGTATTCATCAACACAATATTTTAGTAGTTTTCACTGTTCCTTCATTATTTAAGGTAACCAAAATACCTAAAAAAATATAGAAAGTCTACTCTCAGAGCAGCTTTTGTATCCTCTCTGTTTTAGTTTGAGTTCAATCTTACTGGCATAATTGATAATGCAGTTCTTTGTTTTGTCATTTCAGAATAAGGAGATACAAACTGTAAATGTTTATAATGCATGGTAATTGCGCACAGGGCCATTCCTTTCACATATGAATGGAAACCTATGATAATTTCAAGGTACAACAGTTTTGCACTTGCCCTTCAAAAGCTGCCTTGCAGTATCTCTTGAATCTGTAACAAATATGAAGAAGAAAGTGACTTGATAAAGGTGTTTGAAATTACATAAAATTTAAAATTACAATAATAATAATAACAATGATAATTAGCACTTTGCCCGTGGGGATCCACGGGTTCTAGATTAAATTTTAAGCTTAAATTTTATTGTTTTATGTAACTTCGCTTTCATGTTATAGTGAACAATGCACCATTATGATGTCATCACATGCACCTCTATAATGTCATCACGTCGCTATGTCGTTTCCATAAACACCAAGTTGGCTGCCACGTGACCGATGTTTTTATAGTAACTAAAACTAAGTAACTATCTCAAGGGGAATACGCTGCGCTGACATTCCGCGCTCAGTGGAACACGAAGTTGCCTGCACGACTGAGCAAAAAAGCGTCGGTCACGTTATGTCGCAGATATGAGCCCGATGGAATCTAGCACCGATTGGCCGGACACACACACATGCACACAGAGTCTACTCGGCTATTATAATATAGATGCATTACTTTTTCAAACATAACTTCAGATGACAACCCCTGGAAGGGATTGGGCGGAGGTTGGGGAGTGACAGGTGGGATCTCATTTATGAATTGGGCCTGAATTTCATTGGGGTGGGTGATAGAGTGAAGAGTCGAGGGGGCCTGGAGATTATAATACGTTCGGTGGGAGTTCTGAGAGGATTGTGGAGTGCTGGAGACTGCTGGTGTGTTAAAAAATAGGTTGGGGGGAAAAAAGAAGTGGTTATGAGCTTCTGTGCTGAATTAGATTGTAGGCAAAAGCTTACTTTGTCGCACATGCACCCACACACATATAATGAAGCCTGGACACAATATATATTATATACATATAATATACCTTGACACAAAACTTTTGGTGCTGGGGCATACTTAAACACAGGAGGGTCATCTTGATTAGAGTCAGATTGGTACAGTGGATTTGGTCTATAAGTAAACACAAACAAAATATAAATAAACTGTACTGCTCGTTTACATTTCAGTTTCAGTTATTGTAACATTATAAGCTTTGGAATCACTTAGAAATTTTAACCCCTTGTTTCAAATGAAGTATTGACACTTGTGACTATACTGTAGTTTCAAGTATAGAGTATAAAGTTTTATTTAATACAAAAATACTTCTTTCCAATAGCTTGGCTGTAACGGCCAAACTACATGGGACACAGGCGTGACGCGACAGCCGCAGGAGGCCCGCAGCAGATCGTGTCCATTAAAGTCAATGGAGGTCGCTACACTGACCACGGGAGCCGCGCGCACCAGCACAGCCGTCGCGCGACACTTCTCCAGTTTTCCATGTCAAGTCTATTTTTTTTTCGCCTCTACGCGTGACTACGCGGCCCTCCAAAAGATAAAAACTACAAAAAACAAGTACATCACGGCGCCCCAGTGGCTCAGTGGTAGAGCAGGCGCCACATGCCCTGAGGCTGTCAGTCCTCAGCAGCGGCCGTGGGTTCAATTCCCGCCCTCGGCCCATTGCTGCGTGTCATTCCCCGCTCTCTCTCCCCCTTTCCTGTCCTCTCTTCAGCCGTCGTATCAAATAAAGGCATAAAAGGCCCCAAAAAAATAATATACAAAAACAAATACATCATTGTACCAGAGGCAATGTGATGCAACCTTGTAGGTGTTTTTTTGTTGTTATTTTACTAAGTGCTTCTACAAAAATAAAACATAAAAAAGTGACAAAAAGTTTACAAAGTCTAGACAGATCTTTGTGGAATCATTTTTATATTGATTCATTTAATTATTATTAATTGTTTATCCTTGCTTGCTCTTATTTAGCTTTTCTTAGGCCTCAGTGTGTACTCTTGCATGTTTCTGGGCCTGCATAACTGCAGTTTCCATAAATCTGGCCAGTGCGTCATGGCATATAGCTTATCTGGAGCCATGCGGACCTGATGGGCCCATAACAAGGGCAAGATGTTCTTTCTCTCTCCCTTAGTTTATGTGTTTACAGAAGAAGGAGTGCAAGGGAGAGCCCCGGAATGCGAACAAGACGACCTGCAGATGTGATAGGGAGGAATCACCTGTCTTCTCTGCGAGATGTACGCACACCTCAGGGGCAGCTTGACGTGGGTTGCGTGCGACTGCAAGAGTCTTCCAGATTACATCATGATGTGTAAATCAGCACGGGGGGAGAAGAACGTCACAACGTTTTCCTACATAAGCCACAGAATCAGAGAATGTCTTTATCCTTGTTTGACTGGACTTGTTGTGTGCGGGGATCCTTTTTCTGCAGAAAAAGTAAACTGACCTTTGGCTTGGAAATATTAATTCCTTTGTCTCTGTCTGAGTTCTTTCTGAGAAGGTAATACCAGGAATATAAAATCAAAATTCCTACAACATTGGGGGGCATCGTCCGGGGTTCCAATATCTCACCTGCACTCCCTGGAGAATCGGGCGCTGACTGCAAAACCGTGCACGCCGCCTTGAGAGGCGTAAAGGGGACAGTCCTCAAACCTGGAGCGACTGGCAAGGCTCTTTGGGTGTGTAGTGAGGCCAGGAAGGAGGTTCTCCAAAGTTTGTGGTGGAGGTGCGGGTGAGTGACGGAATTCTTACTGAATTCGGCTTAGTTGCTGTGTGAGACAGAGGAATTAATATTGCCAATTATGGGACGGACGAACAGTAAGGGGTTGTTGTTGTTGTTGTTGTTGTAAGGACTGCTGTTCTGGGACAAATGATGACGTGACTTTGACTGAGACTGGGAAATTCGTTGAGAGTTGACATAATGGTTCAGGGAATCATTGTGGGTCTGTGACTGAGGAGTGTGTAGAACGCTGACATTATGGTTCTGGGAATCATTGTGGGTAAAGGAATTTGGGTTTAGTTGAAATAGAGCGTTGTCTGTATGTTATCGAAGCAACAATGGTGTCAGATCGTAAGAAAATTAGAGCCTTGGATCTTTTCCAATGTGAATGAATGTGAGAGAGGAAAGTGCACTGAGGTATGTGTGTGTGTGTGTGTGTGTGTGTGTGTGTGTGTATGTGTATGTGTGTGTATGTGCTCTGAGCTCAGATTGTGCGTGTGTGTGTGTGAGTGGAAATCAATGTGAATGAACCTAACTCTGTGAGTGTCTGTAAACAACTGCATTGCTGGCATATTTGTTAGTTCTGTCTTTGTTAGATTGAATACAGTTGTCATTCTATTCCATGAAGTGCTCATATAAATGTCTAAAATAAAATTAGCATTTATTCAAGAATAATTTAAGGTGCCCGTTGATTAGCCAATATTTAAAGTATTTTATGGAATCCTTACTGTAATTGCAGGATTGGTAAAAAGTGAAATTTCTAAGAAAAAAGTGGATATTAGCAGTGCAAATTTGTAGGAGTTAAGCCATTTTAATGACTGTGGAGTTGTAAAAGGACAAAGTTGCAGAAGTAAACAGAATAATTATTCCTTATGAAACCGAGCAAAAGTCTCCATTTCTTGATAAAATAAATGCTAACCCCTCATAAACGATCAGTAACTATAAACAGAGGGAAATTTAGATGACGTAACAATTGAATGTAAATTATACAAACATGGACAAGTGTTTCTAATGTTGTGGCTAACTGAATTTCTCTAAGATGCAGGACAAAGTGAATATTTAAATGCTCTAATATTTGGCGATAGTAATACATTGCAGAGAAAACTACCAGTGATATCCTCTATGAGCATGAAGTAATTACACCATTTGAATTTGTTAAATATTTTAAAGAGCTAGAAAATTTAAGCAGTTTTCTGTAAATAATTAGGCTGTGTGAGATTGGTGTGCTAGAAGCACATCTCTGTAAAGAAAATGAAGGAAAAGTAGAAACAAGAATAACACTGTGTTCAAAATTTACCAAAGTACTGTTTAACACTGTATACAATAAGAGACTGTGCCAAATTCAATTGATGCAGAGGTTTCTCTATCAAGCATTGAAAAATTTCAGCTGCTATCTGAAGGTAAAAAATTAAGGTAAAATGATCAGAAAAGTGCCAGTAAATATAAAATATAATATGAAATTTAATGATACATATTAAATTAATATTAAAAAAATCAAGTGAACTATTGTGGGATTAGTGACTGCATGGGTTCTTAAACAAAGGCGCCAGTGTCAAAACAATAGAGCGAATGGAGCTTATTGACCAAAGCAGATAAGTGGCACAGATAGGTGAAAGGTCGACATACAGAAGTCAGAGAACAGAAGGATGATGAACAAATGTGACTGAAAGCTTTCCTGATCAAAGAAATGCAATTAAAGATCTTTTCTCCATTTTTAACAGGAACTGTCAACGAGTGTCTTCATGGCAAAGGAACTGAGTGGCTGATAACCTTAATCTGTTATTTAACTTTTACAGGAAAGGATCCGAATGAGTTGAATTAAAACAAAATTGTTAATTATTGTTTGTCTCTAACTCCTCTTGGAACGTTCCCACAGAGAGCACTGCTGAAGCTGGCCAGCTGGGGATTCAACTGTGGGGTTTCAGCTTAAAAGTTTAACTTCTAAAATAGATTTGGGGAAATCCAATTTGAAGTATTAACACAAGACTAAATTCAAAAGGTGGACGACCATATAATTGAAAAAGTCCATTAGTAACGTGATCACATATTACTTTGCCATTTCTAAAATTTATTTTTGATTGAGTGGACAGTCAAATAAAAGGTAATGACTGAGGGGACCTTTATGTGCTGGGAGCCCAACGTGAAAACTATTAGTTGAATATTAAATATGTACCAATTTTTGTGAATAAAAAAATTTTGCAAATTGTAACATAGTCTAAAGTGACTCCACCTGGTTCTGCTGATGATGTGGGAAAATGTAAGAATGGTTGGGGCTAATAAGCCCTGACTGTGCATTTCCTCCATGCTTTTAGCGGAACCCTAGACTGAGGTGGATTGCTTAATCATAATTCATTGAGAGGAAAAAATAAAAAATAAAAATGTATTCCCCATTGTGTAAAAGAAGTCTTATCTAATAATACTGCATGTCCTGGACTTAAGGACACTCCACTATCAAATCCTGATATTGAATACTTTGTTGATGGTTCAGTGTCAAGAGTCGATAAAGGCAACCCATGCGTTGGATATGCTGTCTGTACTCATGAATATGTGTTTTGAGTGTAACCCTCTGCACACCAAACATGTTGACCCAATCAGTTTGGCTGACGCCTTTGCAGACAGAGAAGCAAGGGCAACAGCCAAACACACTCTTGTGGGGCTCCTACTCCAATCTGAGGACTCAATTTCATGTGACCTGCAGCGAGCAGAGCATGATGCTGCTCCCCCACAAGAAAAACGTCAATGGACATCACATGGAACACAACACACTGATGACGGGTGGGTAGGACCCAATGGTAAGCCTATATTACCAAAATCCCTCTTCCATATTGCTGTAGGTTTGGTGCATGGGCAGTGCCATGTACCAAGAGGGGGGACCAAGGGGTTAATAGATCAAAGTACTATCACTTCTTTACTAAAAAATTTTTTTAAGAAATGACCAACATAACAAAGTTATAACACACGGGACACACGGGGAGGGGTAGTAGTACAGAAGGGGGCAATCCCTACACCCCCTGGGCCATTCCACACGTTTCATACATTTAACACCATGCGAAGGGAAGAGATATGTGTTGGTATTGGTATGATTCTTTTCTAGGTGGATAGAGGCCTTCCCAGCCACAGCTATAGATGAGATTACAGTGGCTAAAGTTTTGAGTAGGGAAATTATTCCTAGGTGGGGGATTCCAAAAGCATTATATAGTGATAATGGGCCAGAATTTAGAAATGAAGTACTGGCTCGTTTGGGAGTAAAATTGGGAATAGAATTGAAAAAACATTGCGCATATCATCCACAATCAGCGGGATTGGCAGAAAGGACTAATGGGACCTTAAAAGCAAAATTGCGCAAAGCCATGGCTGAGACTAAATGGAACTGGGTTGCATGTCTGCCGCTGGCATTAAATAGCATGAGAATAACACCACAGCGGGGATAGGGTTGTCACCTTATTAAGTAGTACATGGGAAACCTTTTGAATGTAAGTGAACCACACTTATTACAGAGAACACAAGTAGAAGAGGCAACTCTGGCAGAGTATATGAATAGAATGTTGACTAACAAAAGTGAGATTCGAAATGTGCTTCCTCCCAGATCACTAACAGAGCTGCCACCCGGACAGATAAAGCCGGGAGATTCGATCCTGGTGCGGAGTGTCAGTAAAAAGCAGAAGTGGAGTGACCCGGCGTGGAAGGGTCCATATCAAGTGCTCCTGACCACACCGACTGCAGTAACAATCCAGGAGAGAGAGACGTGGATTCATCAGTCACATTGTAAGGTGGTATCTCCTCCTCCAGCTGGTGTGTAGGTACATCTGAATAAGTCAGGATAGACTTGGAGGAGTCCGATTACAAAGGGGGCGTGGCATATAGAGCTCGTCCGTCTCAACCTCGTGAAGAACTTATTTATGCTCCGAGTCAGTAGAGACTCCAGACTTATTCATAAAAAAAAAAAA